GCGAAACAAAGGACACAAACCACGAAACACGAGTTATATCTTCACTGTCTACACAACACATGGAATGATCGTCTTATAATACTGCTAGTGCAGCACACTGCCTTCTCTATTTTTCCTGACGTGTGACGACATACTCCATATATATACTCTACAAAGGTGCAGGATGATGATCTTGAACAGGAATTCGTCGTGGTTATCTATTGTGCAAAAAACAAATATTTCCCTCTTATTACCCAATGGCTAGAAGTCCAGTCGTAACTTTCCTTTTTTTTTTTGCCCTAATTCTGTATCTAAACTTTGTTTCCTTATTATATCATTAATATATAAACAGTAGACAGTAGAGGTAATCCTACTTCCTGATTCCCTCCACTCATCATGGGCATATATAGACTCTCGTTCTAGCGGTGTCATTATCGTCCAAGATGGCATCGCATTTCACAATAAATACAAGGTGCTCATACGTCATCTCAAGAGGGTGAGACAAGAAACCGGGTGTTCATACATGATATAATAGGTCAAGCGAGCACTTTCCGGTGCCTTGGACAATTTTTTCCCAAACCCTCAAATCGCACATGGTTTCTCATGTTGCATTGCAGGCAGGTACTCTGGTTACTAGTATCAATTTCATCACTGATTAATGATTATACTCGACTAAAATATTTAGGGTATATTCTTAGGGCATGTTTGATGCACCAGCTAAATTTTAATTGGCTAAATTTAGGCTAGGCATCCAAACATCCTAACTAAAAGACCAGTTAAAGTTTAGCTGGGTTTAGCTATTTCAACCCAGCTAGGCCAGCTAAAATTTAGCTAAGTCTATTAGCTGAAGCATCTAAACACCCTAGCTAAAGTTTAGTAGTGAAATTTTTAGCTGGCTAAAATTTTAGGTAGCTAAATTTTAGTTGGGTGCATCAGATCCTACGAGAAGTGTGCCGTCAATCAAGATAAGAATGCATAAAAGAGAATTGAACTCTAGGTCCATACAATTTAATTCCGTATGAACCAGGCATCCATCCAGCACGACTTGCATAGAAACATCAGGTAAATTTTTTTTTCACTTCGTGTGGGCCAAACGCGCACAGTATTCTCAAATACTCTCAACATTTAAAAAACAGCAAGAAGATAGAGAAAAAGGCCCATCATTGGCCCGTCTGATTTGAAGCCTAGGCCACTTTGGAAAAAAGAGTCTCTTTTATCTTACCATAAACTATTTTCTATGGTCTAGTTTTTTTTTCTCGAACTCTAAATTAGTCATCTTATTACTCTTCTAACTCTCAAAATTGTTTAAATTACCTCTAGGCCTTTTAAGTATTTGGCAAGTAGCCATGTCTCTGCATCTTTATTGGGTACTCCCAACCCCCCCCCCCCCCCCGTGGTTTTCACGACGATTTCACCTTTAATAAGAAAAAAAATCCATAAATGAGTTTCTAAAAATTTTGAGAGGAAAAATACAAATATAGATTAGGATACAAAAAACTCAAATAAAATATTTAGAGCTCTTAAAAGTACTCTCTTTCTATATTGTAAGACGTTTGGTGTTTCTAGATACATTGTTTTTATTATGTATCTAAACATAATGTATATCTAAGTGTATAGCAAAAAACTATGCATCTAAAAAAAATCAAAACATCTTATAATTTGGAATGGATGGAGTATATCTAAAAGCTTCCAGTGTTTTAGGTGTAGAAAAATGGGAAAATATCTAGAAAAATTCCAGAATATTCTAATAGATGTCTAAACATGTTTTTAAACTTTCCACAGTAAAAACATGAGATGCAACGAGCATATGAATGCATTTAGCATTAAATACATGCTAGATTCTTGTTGGTTGCATCTTATATTTTTGTTATGGAAAGTTTCTAAAACACATGTATACACCAATTTGAATATTTTGGGAGTTTTTTATATATTTTTCATTTTCTTAGAGCTAAGTCCATTTTTTGGAAGCTTCTTGAGATACTTTTACTAGTTCTAAATATTTTATTTTGTATTTTCTGGTCTCAATCTATCTTTGATTTTTTCTTGGAAGTTTTAAAATCTTAGAGACTTTTTTGTGGTTTAAAAATCTTAATTGGTATTTATAAAATTTCTTAACTTAAAAAGGATGAAAAAAATGCATTGAAAATCACTTTTAACTAGACATGGAGGTAATTTAAACGGTTTCGAGTGTTGAGAAGGTAGGATATTTGGTTTTAGGCTTGTTTGGGACTACCCTGCTCTACCTTTTTCAACTCTGCTTTCAACTTTGCTAGCCAAACAGGTTGACTCCACAAACTATGTTCGAGTAAAAATGGAATTGATGATCAACTTCACATTTTTTAGAGCTCCCAAAGGGTACTCTAGAAACTTTACTTTGGAATCTGATCGTTGAGTTTGAAAAAAAAATACCCACTACTACCCTTGTTTATATAGGTGCGTACCTTTTGGTCTTTTCTTTATCCTTCTCACGGAACTTCTTGACAAAAACAGTAGCACCACCACAAACTCAAAAAAAACTCTTTATATTCTTTTATATTAATAGTAGAGATTTTGGTGGAAAAAATTTAATTGTAGTTCCAAAAATGAAACAAGATATATCGTGACAATCCAATCTTGCTTTAGCTCTAGGTTCGACCCCGACGCACGGGCTAGCTTTTTCCAACCACTCCCTCCATTCTTTTTTATATGCCACATTAGCTTTAACATAAGTCAAACATTACTACATTTGACCAATCATTTTAAAAGATTCTTATAGTTTCACAACATATGAATTATATATTATGAAAATATTTCTCATAGTGAATCTAAAACATAAATCTCATGACACGAATCTATGTGTGTGTGTTTTTTTGGAACTAATAGTCAACAATACATATGTTTGACTTATGACAAAGCTAATACATCTAATAAAAAACGGAGGGAGTAATTAGTTTCCTTACGTAACTGATTAAAATTTTCTTTTCTGTCATGAATATTTCTCCTTTCGTTATATGTCATCTTCTTAATCTTCCTCTTTCCATGCATGAATGACTATAAATACAGTTGGTTAGTTTATCCTAGTATTAATTAGTTTCTTGCACTGTTGATGAGTATTATTCACTGTTAACCTTAGCGATGAATGAATGCGCAATAAGAGTTCCACAGCTGATGCATTTCATATTTTGCCGATACATCGTGCAGGCAGCTAGCTAGCACTAGGCTGACCACGATTAAGTTCTGTTTATGATGCCGCCGCGCTGGCCCTTTGCATTGAAACGGATGCTTTAGGAGCAGTGCACCGGACCAAACGGCTGCCCGGGACTGGAAAGACGCGTGCGCTGGGTGGTGTACGTGCCGGCGAGCATTCAACGAGCGGCGCCGTGTCCCCCGCGGGTGCATGCTCTCTGATCGGCCTCGTTTTGGCCGGCAGAGTGCAGAGCAATGCTCGTACTAGAGCCGGAGACCACATGCACAGTGAATCAGTGATGGATTCATGGGGTTGGAGAGAGTACATGTACCACCCCTGCTGAAGTGCTGGTCCAGTAATCAAGCTCTGTGGGCGATGGTAAGAATATTTACAATTGAGAATGGGTGGGATATGATTTCAGTTTGGTCATGCCTGCACTTCTTGATGATCAGCGGAAATGTTGGAACATTTGTCAGGAGGTCGACGAAGTTCAGTGAAAGAGGGTTAACAATGTGAGAATATTTCTGCTGGTGTTGCATTGGTAACTTGGTACTGAGATGCATGATAGAAGATCGATCTTAGCAATATGAAGTAATAAACTAGTAATACACCAAAAGTGTAGCAAAATGATGGGGCTGTTTTCTTCTAATTTTTTTTCGCAAAAGGGGCTCTTTGGTTTACTTTCTTCTGCTCACCTCATAACTAGGAAATGAAAAGAGATAGCAGTTTGCGCCGTGTTTAGTTGAGGAAACTTTGGATTTTGGGCTACCGTAGCACTTTCGTTTTTATTTGGCAAATAGTGTTCAAACATGGACTAATTAGGTTTAAAATGTTCGTCTCGCAAATTTCCACCAAACTGTGCAATTAGTTTTTTTTTCCGTCTATATTTAATGCTCCATGCACGAGCCGCAAACATTCGATGTGATAGGTACTGTAGCATTTTTTGGGATTTTGGGTTGCAACTAAACATGGGCTTGGTTGAGAAGCTAGTTTGTCTCGGGATCTGTGATGGCAAGAAAATACCTTGCTGATATAAAAGAGCTAATTTGACTAGCTCTAGCCGGCTGGTCCTCGCCAGCAAGGCAAGGCAAGTTTGCCTCCGAGCCAAATAGGCCCAGAGCCTTGTTCTACTTAAGTGACCTATATAGGCATGCTTTTAATAGGTGTTTGATTTGAGTGGGTTGACGATGGATCTTCTGAACCTAACTAATACTGTACATTTAAGTTGTGGAATGAAATAGGTTCTTTCATCACCAGTTCACCACCCATTCCTCACAAGCACGTAGTTAATTAGTTAACGATCATAAGTGCTTCTTCACATCAAAATTCATGTGATAATCTCACGATGGACCAGCCTATTCAGCAAATGGTCATAGATTCTTTGTCCCATCAAAATTCATAGGATAATCAAAACGACTTAATTTCTCAAACCAAACACCATGCGAGTGTGGTCACATATGTAATGATGAGTGATGGGCTAACTAAATACGGAGTAGCAAACTCTGCACAGTTCATGGTTCATAGTACTACTACCGGTCAGAAACCACAGGAGCAGATTGATCCGGAGCAAATTCAGTTGCAGATTTCGCTTAGACATAATGCCCGGTACATGATGCACAGAATGTTTCCAAAAAATCAAGAATTCACCAAACTTGATGCTTCTTCTGATCTTCTCCCTACATCCCACCTCACCTCTAAGACTCTAACAGATATGTACAGAACACACCACAGATCAGTGAACTGACAAACCTGAAACAACTGCTAATAGACTATATCAACCCTCTAATCTCATCTTCTTTACAAGTAGTTGCCTACTGCTACATCTATCCTTCTTCTTCTACGCACTCGACAAAGCTTAGAACCCTCCTAAGCTTTCGTGCTTCTCTCCCACTCCCACACCGCTGCTGCTCTCCCTGGTGACTCTAATGTAGCAGAAGATGACGACGATCACCGCTGCTGCGAACCCGGCGAGGATCACCTCCGCGCCGGCCTCGGAAATGTCGGGCCTGCCGCCTTCACCGGCCTGCGCGGCAGCCCCCGGTCCCGCCGCCGCCACGGCGCCTGGCGAGGCCGGTGGCTCGGCGATGCCCAGCAGCGGCCTGGCCATCGCTCCCTCGCCGTGAAGAAGAACAGCGCCAAGAACCGCCGCCACCAGGAGGAGCAGCCTTGGCAATGACAAGAAGATGCGGCGGCTAGCCATTGTATTGTACTGCTGCAAGCCAGGCCGCTCGCAACTCTCTGTTCCTCTAGAGGTCTCTCTGAGCTTTGCTCCAGAGTTGTGTGGGAATTGCGAGGAGGGTGGAGTGGAGGGAGCTCATTGCGGTGGGATGGATATATATGGGCAGTGAGACGAGTGACGGGAGTGAGGTGGAAGTGAGAGGAAGGAAGCAAGGGGGTCGGACCGTCGGACCGTGGTCTTGCGCGCCTGGCTGGCACATGAGAATCGAGGCGAGGGGAGACGGTGAGCTGGGTCTCCTCGGGATTCTGCTGCGCTGATGCGACGCTGCGGCGCTCGCCCCTGCTTGTTTGGTTGGTAGGAGTACTTTTTTTTTTTTGAAAAGTATTGGTTTGGTTGAAGGGAGCGGACCACCGGGGAGGAGGTCGGGATCGGGGAAGATTGTCTCAGGGAGGTTGGACCTGGTGGACGCTGTCCTCGGCAACCTGGGCCCTGGGGTAGCCCCTCGTGCATGGCTGTGTCTGTGTGATTTCTTTACCACTGTCCTTTACCTCGAGTGGTTGTGTTGTGGCAGTTGAGAATTTGAGATAATGAGATGGTAGGCATAAGATCATGTCAATGCGTGAGACAAATTCTTTGGTTGCAACCATGTTCAAGAAACCATGAAAGGAACTTGGTGCGTACGTATAAAAGACATCATTAACTTTCTTGGTGAAACCTTTCCAACGTCCACCTGGCTACACACGATCGATGTGTGGCAGTGCGAGGATATGAGAATGTTTGCATTGCTTGGGCCGTTTCAGCTGATAGAAAATAAAATTGGACCAAACCTTAACAAGGCTGGCTGCTGCCCATCTCTAACCCATTGAGTCATCAGTAGGGAACCATCTGTCCGGGCGACGGTATGGTACAGCGCCCGTCTTTCTCAGCTTCCTTCCGCATTTACGTTGCGACGGTTTGATAGCAGCCTCTCTCCGCATTTGATATAGGCTAATAGCTCTGTTGTAGTCCAAAAGTTGCAGGCGTAAACTTTGTGTGGTGCAGAGTACAGAGTACAGAGTTATCTGGTGCAGTTGAGTATTACTGAATTAAAGACCAGGCTAAGACAATCGGCATGTTCGCTGGTTGGTTTCTGAGTCGGTTTGGGCTGGCTGGTGCTAGTTTCTTGTGAGAGAAAAACACTGATGGCTGGCTGGTTTGAGCTAGCTGAAACCAACAAGCGAACATGGTGAATATCTGGCCTCCCAGTGATGTAGCCTGAGTATATCTCCAACAATACATAAAAATCAACTCAAAATCTGGTTTTGACTGAGAAGAAGAAAAACCGAACAAAAATGATGTCAGATTCCGTACAAAAACGATTTTTTAAGACGCCTCCTATTTTATTTGGGCAAAGCTCGCCGGCGGCTTGTCCTCGCCGCATCCTCCGCTCGCCTCAGAAGGGGCCGCGAAGGCGCCTGCCTATCCCTCGCTTTGCGGCATCGTAAGAAGTGAAAAACGAATATGACAGGCATATGTTTCATGTTTCGGAGATATCACCTCCGCTACTCGGTTCGAACCGAACCTGACAGATGGGAGCTGCAAAAAACGATTCTGAGAACGGTTCGGTCCCTATAGTGTGAGCATCGGCTGTTAAATTTCTCTCTCCAACTTTAACTCATATCCTTCAATCAATGCGTCATATCTCAGCGGCCGATACAAATATTTTATTCCCTGTGTTCGAACCAAGTTTGAGTGTCGAACTAAACGATCTTTTGGCATGGTTCGATTGCTCCAGTGTGCAATCGATTTTTACTCTCTTTTCTCTCTCCCCATGGTTCAGTTTGATACAACATTGTAGCTGCTCTAAGCGTTATGTTATGTCATGATGTTGCATATGTTTTAATGAGTGTACATATATATTGCAAGCTTTTATTTGTAATTTTCTCTGTTTTTTCATACGTATATTGCAAGTGTATTTATTTGAATGTTGCGTATGTTTTACACCTATGTTGCAAATATTTTATCTGGACGTTGCATATGTTTTATAATAATTTTCAAGTGTTTTTCAGGTGTTTTTTCAAGTGTTTTAGATGCATGTTTCAAGTGTTTAATCTGTCTTTAGACGTATGCTGCAAGTGTTATATCTTGATGTTTCAAAAATAGATCGGGTGTTGCATCTCCCTCCTCGCTATCTACTCCCTCGCCTCGGTGTCTCTTTCTCCTCCCAGCGCCGGCTGGACATCCACCGTCCTTTCCTCCTCTTCTTTGATGCTAGTGATGTTCGAAGCGGCGTGGGCCTCACGTGAGTGCGTGAAATGGCACGGGAAATAGTTTACACGACGGACGCGCTAGCAAGCCCGTACACATAACGCAGAAACTAAGAAAATCCACTCGGACCCAAGGTAACGCATGTGCGCTGCTCTCCCTCCTCTCGACTCTTCCTACTCTTGTCTTTCTCCGTGCGATCGTCGCTTCTCGTACGTGGCATTTGCCTTGATATACCACTGGCCCCGTTCGCTGGTTTGAAACTTGGCTGAAACTGGCTGAAAAACACTATTCTAACTGAATTGTTGTGAGAGAAAAACACTGTTCCGACTGAAAAAACAAGCCGAACAAGTCGAATATGGGGTAAGCCGAACGAACCCAATAAAAAATAGACTACCTAGAAGTATATGGAGCAAATTTAGGTTGTCTTAATTAAAATCCTATGCATGCTGCTGTAGAGAAGGTAACCGCGTATAGTTGCATGTGAGTTGTGTAAGTTCGTTATTTGAGCACTGATCTGAAGTGACGGCTGATTATTTCTCCACTATATGCTGAAATTAATCTTGCAATGTTTGATTGCTTGCATTTTTTTATATGGCATAAAGTAATATGCCTAACTACTCGTCCACATGTAGGTACTTTGAATCAACGAGAAGGTTCGTTTTTGTGAGGAACAGACGGTTTGTTACTTGCATATTTCAGCATAGCAGCATTTCGTATTTTTGATATACTTTTGGCTCTCATATTTGGATGATTTTAGACTTATTAAAAGCTTTTTAAAATCTATAAAATATTGTACGAAGATATGTATTATTTGATCATCACACTAGTAGAGAAACGACTTTTGATCCACTTCGAAATTTGGCTTTAGTTCCAGTATTTTTCGCGCCCGGGACTAGAGAAACTTTTAGTCCCGGTTGGTAGCTCAAACCGGGACTAAAGGTCCCTGCCCAATGGCTACTGCGGAGGCTTTTGCTGTAGGGGACCTTTAGTCCCGTTGGAAGCTCCAACCGAGACTAAAGGTTAACTTTTACTCCCGGTTGGTCCTCCAACCGGGAGTAAAAGTCTACTTCCGGCTAGAGGCTTCATCCGGGACTAGAAAGGGACCTTTAATTCCGGTTGCTATCTCCAACAGTTTATGTTGAACGTGGGACTTCCAAAAATTTCCTTGGCAAAAATTTTACCGCCTCCAACAGTTTCTCTCCTCTTCTTCATCCTTATCTTCTCAACATCCTCACGCCAGTGCTGCATCTCATCCTCTCGTCAGTCTTCACTCTCTCTCTTCAATCTCCAATCCACCGGATCTCCTTTTCCAAGTTGTGCGCCATTGTGCGAGCCGAGCTGCGATGATCGCCGCACGTCGGCTTGCGACACACCGGCCGTGCGGCGGTGGCGTCACGCGGGCCTAGGAGCTGCGTCTCCAGCGAGTTCGTGGCGCAAGCTCTTGCGGCAGCGGCACTCTAGGTGTAGTGGATCTGGCTATTTCCGGCCAGGTGATGTGCGCTGTGGTCGCTCTCACGAGTCCATGCATGCAGCGCTTGCGGCAAGTCAGGAAGACAAAGCCCCGTGGAGCCTTGAAGTCGTGCTTGGATAAGTGAGGTGAGTACACCAGTAAAATTCCTAATCTTGTTGGCCAAAACTTTGAAACTTTATCAGAGTAATGTATTTTTTTCCTTTATATTCTTATTGCGGTTGCATGAATGAATGAAACATTTAATGGGAAGAACAAGAAAGATTATTCATTTTTATGGGGAGATTGGTTAATTCTTTGCGCTAATCCTTCTATGCAGATTGGTCAATTCTTTGTGCGGGGGATGCATCAATGGATTCCGGCTGCAGCGATGAGCTCGCAACCCACAGTGTGTTTGCTAGTAGTTGTTCGCATGGCCAGCGACGGTTTTTGGAAGTCTTGGTTGGTAATACCAAAACGAATCATCAATTGAAAATAGAAACAAAAAAAAAGAAAAAAAACATTTAGTCTCGGTTGGTAATCCCACGTGGCTAGGCCGGGAGGCCTCTTTAGCCCCGATTGGTAATACCAACCGTCCCGAGCGAAAAACCGGGACTAAAGGAGGAGCCCTTTAGTCCCGAATTCGTGCTCCCGGTTGAGAAACCAAGACTGAAGGGATTTCCCAACCGGGAGTACAGCTTGTTTCTGTACTAGTGTCAATCTCAGTTTTAATACACTGATACATTTTATTCATACATGTATCTACTTGCGTATGCAAGTTTCATCTAGATCTCAGTCTAAGATATCAATAGATACATTATTAGACATGTGTCGAGTGTACGGTTTGATTATAGTTGGACTTGAGTTGTATAGGATTGGAGTCCAACCTCGTTAAGAAAACAACGTGTCTTGTTGCCGTTCTCGTTTGCATATTTTCTTTTATAGGGTGTTATTCGTTAAAAAACATGTCTTGTTATCGTTCTCATTTGCATATTTTCTTCTGTATGGTGCTATGCTTCGCACTCTTAGGTTAGGATTCGATGGGATCTAGATCTAACCGTGCACTCTAACTCTCTAAGTTTAGTCCCACATCGAAAATTGATGGTAGTGGGGCACAACGCACAATATATAAGGCAGGACAGCTCTCACCTATTAGACTAGTTTTTGGGTTGAATTAGGCCCAAGGCTTTAATATGATGTGGACTCCGATGGACCTAGGCCTAAAAGGGATACCGGCTCGTGGGTATTGCGATCTGGATAAGATCTGCTTCGCACTACAAGATAAATAAATCTCATGAATACGCCCGTGAGCTTGATCGGATCTTAT